GACTAGCCGGTTCTTACAGAAGGTTCATAAAGAATTTCTCTAGGCTAGCTCTTCCTTTGACTAACCTGATGAAGAAGGACCAGCCTTTTGTGTGAGATTCTAGGTGTGAGGAAAGCTTTCAAGAGCTCAAGAAGAGATTAACTAGTGCCCCTGTGTTAGTGTTACCTGATCCTAGTAAGACTTTTGAGGTATTTTGTGATGCTTCTAAATTGGGTTTAGGAAGAGTGCTTATGCAGGAAGGTAAGGTAGTAGCTTATGCTTCTAGACAACTTAAAACTCATGAGCAAAACTATCCTACCCATGACCTTGAGTTAGCTGCAGTAGTATTTGTACTTAAGTTGTGGAGACATTACTTGTTTGGATCTAGATTTGAGGATTTTAGTGACCATAAAAGCCTTAAGTACTTGTTTGACCAAAAGGAATTGAATATGAGGCAGATGAGATGGTTAGAGTTCCTTAAGGATTATGACTTTCAATTGAATTATCACCCCGATAAGGCTAATGTTGTAGTTGACGCTTTAAGTACAAAATCTTTGAGAATGTCTTCTTTGATGATTAGGGAATTGCATATGATTGAAGAGTTTAGGGATATGAGCTTAGAGTGTGAGTTGACGTCTAAAAGTAAGTTGGGAGCTTTGACAGTGACTAATAACTTGATAGATGAGATTAGAGAAGGTCAGAAGATAGATCATTTCTTATTGAGTCAAGTAGAGAAGTTGAATCAAGGTGTGAAGAGTGAGTTTAGATTTGGAGTGGGTGGAGTCTTGAGATTTAAGGATAGGTTGTGCATTCCTAATGTGCTAGAGCTTAAGAGAGCAATCCTAGATGAAGGTCACAAGAGTATCCTTAGTATCCATCCAGGAGCCACTAAGATGTACCAAGACCTTAAAAAGATGTTTTGGTGGCCTAAGATGAAGAGGGAAGTGGAGGAATTTGTGTATGCTTGCTTAGTATGTCAGAAAGCTAAGGTAGAACACCAAAAACCTTCAGGTCTGATGCAACCTTTAGATGTGCCTGTGTGGAAATGGAATAGCATCTCTATGAATTTTGTAGTTGGGTTACCTAAGACTGTGAAGAACTTGGATGCTATATGGGTCATTGTGGATAGATTGACTAAGTCTGCCCATTTTATTCGGATTAATATTAGATACCCTTTGGAGAGGTTAACCAAGTTGTACATCAGTGAGATCGTGAGGTTGCATGAAGTTCCTACTAGTATAGTGTTTGATAGAGATCGTAGGTTCACCGCTAGATTTTGGGAGAGTTTGCATAAGGCGTTAGGCACTAAGCTTAGATTGAGTTCAGCCTACCATCCCCAAACAGATGGCCAAACTGAGAGAACCATACAATCTTTGGAAGACTTGTTGAGGGCTTGCATCTTAGAACATGGGGGTAGTTGGGATAGTTTCCTACCTTTGATTGAGTTTACCTACAATAACAGCTACCATTCTAATATTGGGATGGCACCCTATGAGGCTTTGTATGGTAGAAGATGTAGAACACCTTTATGTTGGGCAGAATCTGGAGAGAATGTCATGTTAGGACCTGAGATAGTTCAACAAACTACTAAACATGTTAAGATGATCCAAGAGAGGATGAGAGCAACCTAGAGTAGGCAAAAGAGTTATAATGACAAGAGGAGAAAAGACCTTGAGTTTAAAGAAGGTGATCATGTATTCCTTAAAGTCACTCCTTGGACAGGAATAGGCAGAGCACTGAAATCCTGTAAGCTTACTCCACGTTTCATCGGTCCTTATCAAGTTCTTAAAAGGATCGGTGAAGTAGCCTATCAAATTGCCTTGCCTCCATCTCTTTCAAATCTCCATAGTGTCTTTCATGTTTCCTAACTCAGAAAATATGTCCATGATCCTTCCCATATCATTGAGTCTGACAACATTCAGTTGAAGGATAATCTTACCTATGAAATGGTTCCTTTAAGGATTGATGACACGAGGGTGAAACAACTGAGAGGAAAGGAAATCCCTTTGGTTAAGGTCGTTTGGGGAGGAAATTTTGAAGAAAGTGCTACATGGGAATTAGAAAGCAAGAAGCGAGAAGCTTATCCATTTCTGTTTTCAGGTAAATTTCGGGGATGAAATTTCTAAAAGGAGGGAAAAATTGTAATACCCTGAATTTTCTACTAAATACAATATTAACTATTATTTATTTTTATATTTATGAATATTATTTTCTTGTAGTTATTTTAGTTAATTAAAAGGGTTTTTTATAAAATATTGTAAAGGTTTTTAATAATTTAAATTATTTGTGAAAATTTTTGTAAATTCTATTTTTTTTTACGCCGGAACGGGCTGTTCCAAAAGTGGAACGGGCCGTTCCAAACGAAGAAAATAAGCTATTTTTGAAGCAGCAAAACGGGCCGTTCCAAAAGTGGAACGGGCCGTTCTCAAAGGGAAACGGGCCATTCCGAGATTCTAAAAATACCTAGAAAGTTAAGTTGGAAACGGGTCGTTCTACTTATGGTCAATCAGTGTTAACACGAACCCCAGAACAGGCCGTTCTAATTTTAGAATTGGTCGTTCTGCTTTTTGAAAACGAGCCGTTCTAATTGTAGAACGGGTCGTTCTAGTTGAAAATTTTGTGTATATTCGAAGGCTCCGGAACGGGCCGTTTCGAATTCAGTATGGGTCGGTCCGGGTACACCAGGATGCCTATAAATAGAAGGGAGGGGGTGAAAAATTTATAACTTAGTGAGAAGGTAAAAATCTTAGAGAGAGAGAGAAAGAGAGAGAAAGAGAGAGAGAGAGAAAGAGAAAGAAAGAGAGAGAGAAAGAGAAAGAAAGAGAGAGAAAGAAAAAGAGGGAATCCAGAGGAGGAGGTTCTGCTCAAGTTTTAGCTCTTGCTTATCCAGTTAAGGGGGGGAGTGAGAAACCTCGCTCGTGGGTGTGGGAATAATTTTTGGATAGTATGATTGTCGGATTGGCTCCCAATCCCTTGCCTGTTGCATGCTCCTTTGAACATGCAAAGTATTAATGTGTTTTATTTTATTTTCTGTTTGCTCTACCTTGTTCCTTGTTGGAAGTAATAATGAATATGAAATTAATGTTAAAAATAAATAAGTTTAATATGAATAAGAATGCTCTCTGTGGATTCCTGTACGGGCCTTATGAGGAATAATTATGACATGAATATGTGAAATATGCCCAAATGACATGAGACAAAAGAATGGACTATTGAGACAGATTATGATGATGAAAATATGAAAAATGGACATGATGTACTAAATGAAATTTTGTAATAAGTCAAATGTTGAGTCAATGAAATAATGAATGTGTGACATGCATCATATACATATATGACTCCAGGTGTGCCGCTGAAGCTGCATACCAGTGATGCTAACAAGGTGTACTTAGGGTCACCCACGACGTAACATGCTACACAAGGTGTACCTTAGGGTCACCCACGACGTAACATGCTAACAAGGTGTGCCTTAAGGTCACTAGTGATGTAACATGCTAACAAGGTATACCTTAGGGTCACTAGTGATGTAACTAGGTGTACCTTAGGGTCACCAGTGATGTAACCAGGTGTACCTTAGGGTCACCAGTGATGAAATGTAAAACTTCCTTATGGCGCCACATGCATGCATTTATGAGTCGAGTCCATGACATCATAGCATGATAAATGAGTGTATATTTGATATTGATTATGTATGTGTATTGTTTACATGTGACTTATATTTGTTGTGTGTGTGTTATCTAACCTTTATTTCTTCACCTGAAACTAAGTGAGATGTTTCTCACTCCCTTGTTGTTTTTGTATATGTTTAAATTATGTTGCAGGTGATCATCATCATGACGATGTTGGTGATGAGGCTTAAGGCTTCAGTTGGGCATGCTCTGATAGGATGTGACATCAGGCATAGCTAGGCTTAGTTTGGGATATTATTGTTTTAAAAGCCTTAGTCTACTTTTCTTTTGTAATTTTGAACGTTCTTGACAAAAAACCAAAATGTGTATCTTTGTCATATTATTTTATTATATGATTTGAAAGTTGTAAATTAATTCCTAACTAGGAGGCACTGCCACCTTTCTGGAATTAATCTATATTTTTCTTTATATGATTTCTTGAGTTTTAATACTTACATGTTGACTTTATAGGATTTATGAGTTACGAATGTGAATCTTCTACCTTATGATATTTTAAACAATTATTTTATTTATGAAAGAGGTTGTCAATTATGAAAGATTTTATTTACTCAATAAGAGAAAAAAAAATTATTGTTTACATTTATTGTGTATTAATGTTGGGGTAAAGGGTGTCATAGTAAACAATTATTTTTTAATTTCTTTAATTTATACTTAATACATGGTTTTAATATTATTTTGGTTTAATTAAATTTCTTAAATTTTACAAGTAAACAAATTTGGTTTTATTATGTAGTTTTTTTATATAAAATTCACACATTATTATTATTTTTATCTAAATATTTAAAATTTTATTATGAATTTGAAATATGAATTTTTTTTAAAAGTTTAGATCTTAGAAATTGAGTCTATGTTTGATAAAAATTAATTAAAATATTTTTTGAAATATAGAATATAAAATATTCTTTTTTCCGGTGAAATTTAGTTTTTTCACGATGAACTCTGAATAGAATTAGAAAGATTAAAAAAATCAACTCAATTTTAAAATTTTGAATAAAAATGTGAATTTAAATATTTTAAAAAAATATAACAATTATATTTACACAACTTTAAAATAGTAAAAAATCTAATTAATTAAAAAACTTAAAGAACTAAAATCATATATGATATAAATAAATAAATTAATTAAAACGTGCAATTTAAGCCAAGAAACTCATGTAACTAGTTGCATCTATGGTCAGGCGGTTGAGCTGTGAAAATTCAAGTAAAAAGTTTAATTTGAGTTCTTAGTCATAAATTAGATCTAAGAAAATCATTAAATCCCTAATGTTATAAGTAGTCACAAAAGATAACTCTATAAAAACAATATTAAGCAATAACTTAATTAAATATAGCTCTGCTAAAACCTCTTTAATTATAAGAGATAATACAATAATTCATTAGCTTTTTTGGTGTCAACAAAAAATAATTCTTAACTTTTACAAAACTTTAATTTTCCAAAAAAAAAAAACTAAACCTACGATAAGTATTGCTAGTAATTAATTAAGTTTACATAAATGATATTCTGTTCATATTGTAAGGTTTAAATTTATATAATTGCTCCCATGAGATTGTACAGAATTAGAATCAACGACATGATTATCAGCTGTATTTGGTGGAGAAAAACGCATCCTCTCTCGCTCATTTTGCATCGTTGGAATTAGAGGAGAGCTAAAAGAGAATGAGAGATCAAGAAATTTCATTGTCCTACAATTTTCTTCATTTGACGTATCACTAAGTAATGCACTTGATTCAGGTTCCTGCAAAATAGTATAATAAATATTATTTCAATATCATAAAGAAGGAGTTGTGGAAGTTTATTCATTACTCAGTATAAGTTAAAGTGCCATTCAGTTACTTGGTAGTTTGTTAATAGTTAATATTCAATGATTTCATTCAACTTATAATTAAGTACAAGCCAAAGCTACATCATATTAAAGTAAATTATGAAGAAATATAAGTGTAAACTCAATCAGGAGTACTATTAATAAAGAACCAAAATTATATGGGAAATATCAGTAAAACTACGTTAATTACTTCACCCACTTACATAAGTATCCAAACATAAAATTTGTTTAATCGGAGAAAATATTATTGTTTTTTAATTCCTAAAATGAAATAATTTTCAAATAGGTGCCTTGTTGGTGGAATTTTTTTTTTTTTTTTTAAGTAGGGAGATTTTTTAGAATATGAATGGGTTTTGCATTGCATAAGAGACAGATAGACCTATATGAACAAACTTCATATAAGGGAGAAGAAAATAAGAAGATAAAATAATTTGAATTTCTTGTATAAGATAAAATCAATTTATGCTATTAATTTTATAAAATCTCTCTCTTTAACTTCTCTAAAAGTTAAGGTAGCTAGATAGGTTGATTAATTTATCTTGTGATGAAATTCATTGCATTTTACCTTCTTAATTTTTCATCCTCTATATGCGCTTGAAGATAAATTTATTTAAACAAAACCCTAGAATACTCGTTTGAACTTCTTTAATTCAATTATTTTCTGATGAAAAGTATTGTCATTCTTACTTTTTTATTTATAAATTTTTTATAAATGATGATTAATTACACAGATAATAATTTATTAATTCGCACATAAACAAGGAAAATATAAGTAACATGATATTTTTATAATATATAAAATCAAGAAATAGAAACAACGTTGTACAAATCAAACTTGCTGAAGGTTTTCTAAGCAATGGTTCAATGCTTTAAAACTTGAAAAGATTGAATTGCTAAAGCTAAGGAAATTAGGAGACATGTGTGGTATATCAAATAGTAAATTAAAATATATAGTACCTGATTTAGATCGTAATCAGTTTCACTGGTCTGCGAAAATCCTTTATTGTCTAACGGATAAATTTCTTGATTGATCCCCGTATCATATTTTGATGCTCTTACTTTATTTTCTTGTGATCTGAAGAGTATGTAAACAATGTAAAAGAAATACGATCAAAATGAGTGATAAAACAGTAATACTGAAGTAAGAAATGTATTTTAGGCCTGTTTAGATAATTGTTTTTCCTCATAAGTACTTTTAAGAAGACAAATACGAAGAAAAAATAAAAATAAATTTATTTATAAATTAAAACTAACTTTTCTAAAACGTATTACTTGTAATTAAAAAAATATAACTTCAAAAATAGTTAATTACAAATTATAAAATTTGTGATAAAGTCAATTTTTTTTTTGTCACAAATATATTTTATGTTTAGTAGAATTTATATTTAGTGATAATTTTAAAATAAGAAAATAAAATTTTGTAGACATTAGTGTCAATTGTTTTTTTTGTAACAATTATATTTTTAGACACTATTAATCAAATTATAGTAACAAAGCGACAATTTCATCACTATGTTTTAGTCACTAAAAATCACATTTTTTTTAGTGTTTTTTGAAAGTTAAAATTTTGTTTATATAATCCATGAAATTTTATAAAATATTTTTATAATCTCATATATGAACAATCATCATATTAGATTATTATTTCATGAATCATCCATGTGTATCAAGTTTTAATCTTTATTCAATAAAATTTTCTATTATTTCAAAATTCTTATGCTTAGGAAGATTACCAGGAAATTCTACTATTATGGATTAAAACTTAATATCTATAGATCATCACATAAAATAATAATTTAATATGATTATCTAAATATGAAGATATATAAAGAATATTTTGTAAATTTAACAAATTGCAAATGAATTTTTAACCTCATAAATTAAATTAGAAAAATAAAAAAAAGATTAAAGATTGATCTAATTACAAATTAGTTCATGTACGATTATCAAATCTTTTTAATACGTTTTGTAATTGTTTAGACATATATATGGGTTACCTTTGAGATGAACAATTGGAGCACATTGGGATATCGTTAACATGTTCATTTCCTTCCATCTCCTGATGCATTGATGTGAGAATCGAATGTCCCTTAATGTTCCTGTACATCTAAAACCCAGAATGTTTCTCTTAGAATGAAGAAATATGTAACCCTAAATTATTTCATTTGAAAGACTCAGTCTAAGGAAATGAGAATTAATATTCACACAATTGCTTTATATAAATCAGTAGTTCACCAGCCAGCAATTATTTTAGGAGGCAACCAGAAGAAAAAGAGAATTCTAGTAGGTATAGCCGCAATTAAAATAAGAGTTTCATTATGATACGTACGTAAGTTAAAGTGCTTTATATATATAGAACATTCAATTTCTAGTGGAATATCATCTTATTCTCATTCTCTTTTCTTCTCACATATATATTTGTACTCAATTTCATTTAATAACATTAGAACGCATGGTTATAAAGGCCTACTATAATATTGCTAAAGCCTAGTACGATAGTACATTGAAACTGAAGATATAGGTGTAGTGTGGAACCAAATTTCAAGCCTAATAAAGGAAAGAGAAAAAAAAAGTATTTCACTTTCTTTAAAGCTTACACAGTTATACACTTTTGGCATCTCAAAAAGCAAGCAAGCTACACAACGTAACTAACTTTTTTTTTTCTTCTATTGCAAATTCACAATGTAACAAGCTTGTTTTTATAGATTCTGCCAAAGAAGAAAGACGGTGAGAAAAGAAGGTTCACATGATAAAATTTATATACTTCTTCGTGAAGAGTATGCAAATGTACCTAACCCAGATATATTATTATTTTTATAAGTTGCGCGTGCACAAAATGCATTTTAATACTAAATCAATGTTCGTTCATTCTTTTGATGAGGAAGACGTATAACATGAAGGGTGTAATGTAAATACAAAAGATATATTATATGATCATTTCTGAGTATGAGATAGCGAATATGCTATGTGTTTGTTTGTACCAAGTAATTAAACAAACATATAAAAAGTAAGAAAAATAAATAAATAAAGTAACACAAAGAAGTGAGAATAATAATGGGATGGCTCTTCATGAGTGCTTTGTCGTGAACTGAAAAGTAATGGAATATAATCATGAATGAATTAACATACATATATATAGGATATAGCTATTGTGACAAATTTTGCTTTCCACAAACTACAGTATTTTCCTTTCGTTGTTTCAGCAATAATTGTTGGTACGGAAAAATACCCTAGACCGTATTTTTTGTCTCATGCTTTGATTGATTTTAAAGAAATATATAGAGACAAGAGATTAGGACTTTTCCCTTGTGAGGGAGGAGAATTGATCTTGGCACAGTGACAAAAAATTCTCATATGAGAAAAAAAACATTACTGTTTTCAAATCTTGGGGTTTTCTAAAACAGCCCCAAAACCAAAACTAACTCAGGTTTAATATTAGTTGTAAAAGAAACAAATAAAGCTTGTACACAAGTATTATGTTTCTATATGTAAGAATATTGGACCACATGGGATAACTATATATATACCTGAAGATGGCTTTTAATGTGAGAGATCCTCAGTCCTTTCACATGCATCATCTGCAGAATGCTCTTTGGTGTTGCCTCTGCAAAATCCAGTTTGAAAAATTGTTAGCAATATATAGTTGAAGCATAGCCAAAAGATCCCTTACCCACTTGTTTCATACCACACTTATAAGAGAGGAAAAAGGAGATGAATCAATATAACTTAATTATCATTTGTGCTACTATGCTTTAGCAGATATATTTCATATTATATGTTGCAAAATGCTCAATCAAGTTGTTTATCTAATAATATTAGAGTCTGTTTGCATATAAGTTATTAGAATTACTCTACTAAAAATTTTCAATAATTCTTTATTTTTTTATAAAAATACTTCTAAATTGTATGTAAACAATCTTTTAATTTATCCTTTTCATTTTCTTCCCCCAATATCCTATCTTTGTTCTCTTGGCCTTTGTGAGAGTATCAAGAAGAATTAGAAGAAAAACAACAGAAAATAAAGAAAAAATAAGTTATAAATAGAACTCACAGTCACATGCAAGAAATTAATCTAGCTTAATAATTATCAAGCATGAAGGCAAAAATTGAAAAAGAAATTCTATGAATGGATATGGACCAGAAAAAATGAATCTGCTAACCCTAGATCTTGTATATGAAGGAAAAACTTACTGTTTTTTCCACCTAGACCTTCCACAACTTCAACAAAGTATTCATGGAGTTCAGGTGTCCACCGCAAGCGTGGATTATCCGATTTGTGGTACTTCCGTACACCCGTTTTCTTTGAATTCTTCATTTTCTTCACCTTCACGATGTGCAGCAGCAACAGCAAGAGAAGCTTAATGGAAGAATATATATAAATAAGACTTGTTTTGCATCTAATATATGAAAGCAGCATAAACCATAGAATGTTTTCTATGTGTCCAAGGTCAATGACTTTACAGAAGAAACGATATTATTATTAAAACATATACTTTTCATATATTCTTATATATGTATATCTTGTCTTATTTTGTTTGCGTGGAAAAAAAAATTCTTTTTATCCTTTTTGGTTGGATATATATTGAACATTCCGTTTGGTATAGATTGTAACGCGAAAATAATAATAATAATAATAATAATAATAATAATAATAATAATAATAATAATAATAATAATGAAACGTGTGGTTTGAGAAACACTGGATTCCGTTTTCTTTCTTAATGGTTTAAGATGATCATTAATTGCTTTGAAAAAAACAAACAAAAGTGATATAAAAAAATGCTGTAAAAGTATATTTTAAGAATAGAATAGTTCTATCCATATTAGTTGGTATACTGTCGATATTTAAACATCAAAATATCAAATTTGAGTTTTAAATTTAATAAAAAAATAATATCAACAGAGATAATTTTAATGTCCTCAAGATTTCAAGGAAGACTAATTTCTAGCGAAATTCATATATATTCCTATTAATATCATTATATATATATATATAGAGAGAGAAAGAGAGAGAGAGAGTTCAAACAATACTGGTGTAACTTTTACTAAGTATTACACGGCTCAATAACTTTTATATTAAATGTGAATTTTGTAAATCCAACCGTTAGATTGAAAGTTCTTTACTCTTAGATCATATATACAAAAATTTTATATTAATCCAAGATGATTTGATACTTCATTCTTATAAAACAAAATTGACGTAATATATTTATTTTCAAAATATACTAAAATATGAACACTTTGATTACCCTCAAGTTATTGTTCAATTTTAACAAAATTTGATATACACATATAAAGTGATATGAACACACACACAATATATATATATATATATATATAGGGAGCATATCAAGTAAGAGGAAATTTATTATGAGAGATGAGAGGGTTAAAATATAACCCTCTCTCTCTATATATACGCTCTATATATATATATATATATATATATATATATATATATATATATAAACAATAGAATAACTCTAGGTTTGGATTTAGTTTGGATTTAGCTCATGTTCATGTAGCAAACATTCTTATTATCAATTAGATTTTACAATTCTCAGCATTAACGGAATGACTAGTTTTGAATCTTTCCTATATTCTTTAAAATTTTAGAAGATGAAACAAAGGTGTCAATTTAAAAAAATTGATATTATAATATAAAGTACAAAATTTAATAATACAATGTTTTAAAATAGTTGTTGATAATTTTAGAAGTTAAATAAAATAAAAGTTTAGAAAACTATAATAATTTCTTCATATTAAAACGAATTATATATATAACTTTTCAAGAAATGAAAATACACTTTTAAAATAAAAATAATTGCACCTCTCAATAATTACATTAATTTTTAAATATTTTAAATTTATACTCTAGTTATTTCCGAAAAAAAAAATTAATGCAACACCAAACCGATGTAAGTCTTCTTGTGAATAATTATTGAGTTTATTTAAAAGAACTAGGAAATATCGCCGCATGTGCTTCAAATCATATTTCTAATGAGTGGTTTAGTCAAGCTTAATCAGTCAACTAATTCGTTTCCAAACTTCAATTACTACTTACTATCTTAGCAGATAGTATAGTTCCATATCAACTCTGCATTTATTAATATATAAAAATGATTAATTATGTTCATTAATTATTCAGGTTTAGAAGAAAACTCAGTTACCAAAATACGTGTGAAACAATTTATCCACATAATTTATATATCACTTCTTTCTCTCTCTCTCTCCCACGTGTTAAATCTAAAAGCTCACGAGGAAAATACCTAGAACATATCACATGCACCTTTTAAGACGCGTATTTGTAGTCACTCGTGCATGACCCATCGGTATAAGATCCGCAGATAAAGATATAAGTAACTACAAAATCACTTTTTAATTGAAAAATATTTTTTAAAAATTATTATTTTTGAAAATTAATACTTTTACGACAAATATATTAGTGAAAAGACAAAATTTTAACCAAAGTTTAAAACACACATCATAAAAATATATAGTTTAAGTTTTTAGTTAATATTTTTGGCATAAACTAATTCAAACATCAGCTAAACCAACTCTGCGACTAGATGTTATTTACATGTATAAGGATCCAAATATGATTGTAAAGTATTTTGTGATTAATTCAAATGTACGGCTATAATTAGAAATTTTGATTAGACCCACACCTACACCTAAAGGACCTAAATATAAGTATATATATGATATATCTTAGAGGTTTAAAGAGAATGATTTTGTAAAAAATCAATTATTAAAGTTATTTTCAAATAATCCCAAGCGTGTGGTTTAGTGGTAGGGGTTGATCCACGCTTAAGCAAGGTCAGGAGTTCGAATCCTGCCTTGTGTATGCAGCCGGGTTAAATCTTAGGAACAGCTATCCCATCTTTTGAGGAATCTCCCTCGTAACAAAGAGATTAGTCACTACTATCAGTCCTGGATACTCCAGGGACGAACTAAAATAAAAAATAAAAAGTTCTTTTCAGACAACTGAAAGTACAAAAAGCTTAACAAAAAATAAATTTTCATCGTCTTATATTTTTATATGATAAATATTTTTCCCTTTTAAAATAAATATTTGGTTATTTGAAATCAATTCTAATGGCTGACATTGACAAAACTCAAAAAATGAAAAGCTGCTTTTAGTCAAGATTGTGAATAAATAGAAGAGAGCAAATTGCCTTCCCTTTCTCTTTCTGTGATTCCAATCAACTTCACGTCAATAATAGACGGTGCCTACTTTTGGACCCATACATTCATCTTTGTAATTGTGCTGCCGTGTTCAACACTAAACTACCCTCAAATTTCAAGCACCATGGAAAAAGGAACCTTATGCTTAGAATTTCTCTAATGGTTCATTATGTATACATGGGCCACGTTCCCATGCATCGTCGTCCATCAAAAATCATGGACCACCACTGGTTCCCATCTCGGATAGCCTTTGATTGCTTGACTTTGACTATCCCTTATTAATCACAAGGTGGTCCCACTTCCATGCACGTATACCCTATTGCTAGCTAGCTAACCCATAAAAGAACATACAAATAAAGCTACTCATATGTTACTTGTGATTCAAATGGTATTCAACTTGATTTTTTTTTTAAGAAAAGTCTCGAATTTAAATTTTATATATAGAAAAAATTTAGTTAAAAGAAATTTTTTATTAAAAAATGGTCAATTGTGACAAAAATTATTAGTCATATATCGACCAAACTGATAATAACATAATTAAAAAAAGAAATAGAAAAAAGGTATGCTTCTTCATTCACACCACTTTATTATTGTTTTCTCTTATCCTGGGGTAGGAATGTTTAGGGTATACTTTTTTTATATGGTATTCTTTTCCAAGGAGGAATGAGTTAAACAAGCTATCAAGAATGAAAGAAACGAACAAAAGGACATTGTCCATTTCTTTTTCCTTTGTGAAAGTGACAAAGGGATAATTAATCTTCAATACAATGCTAAATGACATTGTTGATAATGTTCGTTTATCACTGTTAGGTGTAATCTAGTATCTACTACAACTACGGTTTCAATTCCTTATTATGTCAGACAAATGGAATTTTAATTCCAAAACTTTGAAAAGTCTTGTTTGTTTTATTTTATTGCTTCCATTCCCACATGCTCTATATTTAATGGTCCCCCACCATGACATAGCATGTAGCCACTTTTCCACTTATATAACCACTCTCGTGAATTAATAATTATTGAAAGAAGTTTAATTTTAGGGGATAAGATTTTTGTTTGTTTAATAGTTTAGGACATGATTAAGGATAAGATGATATACACTATGAAATATTAGGAAATTAATGATAATCAAGTTAAAAGAAAGCCATGAGAGACTAAATAAACATGAGAATAATTCACATACCAATAAAAGTAAAAGAAAAGAACATTGATTAAGTAGGATAGGGAAGACTCGTAAATCACTGAAACTATGTATAATCTACGTAGGACGAAACAAAAACGTGTTTGAAATCTGCTGTTATTGTGGCCCCAATTGTTGTAGTAGCAGCTTTGTGTGTTGCGTACAGTACACAGCAAGTTAATTATCTTTGTTTTGTTTCCCAGTTGCTCAATAATAACAAAGCAATTACGGAACCATGAGGTATATCAATTGTGGATTCAAACTAGTTACCCTCTTTTGTATGCCTTTTTCCTTGTTCCTCTAATAAATAATTGGTACTTCAAAAAAAATTAATAAGGAGAAAATGTGATGGTTTTAATCACACGTAACCTTTTTTTATTGGACAAATTAGAAAGGGGATAGAAATAGAATTAGGTAATTATCTATCCATGAATTGCAACTCAAAAATTTAAAAATCACGTGTTTTTGTATAAGTATGATGATTGCTTTTTTTAGTCTTTGTTTAACATTCTTGTCATGATTGGGATATGTTATACAATATATTTTTTTTTTATCAGTAAAACTTTCATGATATGAACAAAATTCGAATTTTAAACTTTATATATGTATATATATTTCCACAATCTTTCATCATCGCGCCTGACCCGATTGGTTCTAATTTTTTTCATTATTAATTATTAACTTCCACTAGAGTTGGAAAGAAAATTACATGGTCCTTGGATAAATATAAAATATATTTTTTTACGGTTTGACTTTTGTCTTTGCAGATTGCTTATTATATTGCTGGGTGCAGGAAATTCAAAATTAAATTCTCGATGAAAACTATTTCTAATCAATATATCTAAAGGCAAAAGAAATTATTTTAAACATATTTTAATCTGACTTTATTGGAAAATACCAATGCAAATATGAAGCAACACGAAACGAAGATCAATAACACAGCTAAATTTCAAGTTTTGAATTATGTGTTTTTCTATTTCAATTTAATATATGCATAAGTTCACTTTAGAATGTCTATTAGTTGGATGCATACCTCATTCTTTGTGTTTCTATGTATCTAGACATGGAGACGTATTTACCTGTCTTTGTTAA